TTTCCATTAGCTTATCTCAGAAACCACAAATCTACTGTAAGGAATCCAAAATGCCTAAACTGCTTTTCCCTTTGCTCTCTCTAAATCACAAGTAGAATGAGAATAGTTGGGTGTGACCTTGACCAGAGGGATGCAATAGCCACTGTGTTGTAGATTGTTTGGGGTAGTTTGCCGGTTTGGGACAGATGGGGTGGGGTTTCCGGGCCCTCGTATCTTAGTGGGCTGAGTATTCCGGAATGGGAGTGTTGAAGCAGGTCCTTGAGATGGGAGGGTTTAGGAGGTCCACGGGCCCCTGGAATCATGTCCGAATGCCCTGTATATGTTCACATGTGTTTCTTTTCAGAGAAAGGGTCTGTCTGTAGCTTCCAGAAGGTTAAACACCAGTGGCAGAGAGAAAGGTAAAGAAATGAGGAGCTTTGTCAAAATCTTTTACTTTCAGAAAAATATACCGAGGGCACATTTAGAGCAGAAACGTCTCTAAAGAAAAGATGAAGGAAATACAAACTAATAAAGTAATAGGTACTTTTGGTTATTTGGTCAAAAATTGTATTGAATACCTACTACATACCAGTTGTTGTGAAAGGTCCCGGGGATACAGCCATGACAAAGGAACGGTCCATTAAATCATGGCGCCACCGCCTCGGGGACCCAACAGCATTGGTTGAACACATTTCACATATTATGTGCTAAGGGGCTTTACACACATTAATAGAACCTTGACGAACAACCATATAAACTTCAAATCAGTAGATCATTCTATTAGGTCTCAAGTCACACAGGACCTGAGAGCATTCAGTGCCACTGCGATGGCAGAACCTCAGTCTCCCCCATCCCTGCAATCTGGTTCTCCTGCAAACTGGAGGTGGTAACAGCGCCTACCTGATAGGGCTGTGAGGACTATTTTGTTCAATGCCATATCCTTGGTGCTCACAATAGTGACCGCCACATAGCAAGCCCTCAGTACCTATTCACTGAACAGCTGAGCAGAGAATGGGGGAGTCCGGTGCTTTCGGATTCTGTTATCTGCCCTTCACGTGGGAGAACACTCCAGCGCCATCCTGGAGCAGCCCTGGAGGTAAAGGAACCAGGACGCTGAATCCTGGCAGCTTGCTGGGCTATTGACAAAGCTATTTACAAAGCTTTTGTTGGAGCTGGACCCTCTTCTGATAATATATGAATTTCCTAAGCGTGCCTTCCAAGGTGCAGACAAACATCTGAGGACTTGAATTAAGCCCTCTGCCATGGGAATGCAACGTGTATGCACATGGACTGGATTTTCTTTTTCTTTTTTTTCTTTCTGAGCACGGCTGGCAAGGAGCAAGTACCAAGCGAGGATTCGAATTGAGTTCTTTGACACAGAAACTTTCCTTTCTCTGTCTTTATTTTTTTTGAAAATGAAAGTGGTTGACTGAGTACAGCCAGCCTGTTTGGGGATGTGAGCATTGTATTAATGGAATTAGACTCAGCATTTATACTGCATGGTACACCTACTTCCCCACGGCTTGTGATAAAACATGCACGTTTCATTGGCTTTTCTCTTGCCCATTCCAGCATCCCCATGTAGGGAGGAGATGCTACTCCAAGACAACGACTCCTTAACATTAGTATGCATGGATCAAGGAGCTTCTTAAACTGCAGAGTTCCAGCCCTGCCCCAGAGAGGGACCCTGGAGTTTTCATTTTTAACAGTGATTCTTCTGCTTGCAGGTGGTTCATGGACCACACGGAGAACCCCAGGAATAGGGAGAAAGAGAAAGGCCTGACCTGGATTCCAATCCTGACCCTTTTACACTAGATGTATAGCTGTAGAGCCTCTGCTTCCATGTTTATAAAACAAGCAAAATGTGTATTGGCTTCCTTGGAGGGATGCTTCCAAGAGCATTGTATGCAAAGTGCGATGCAAACATTTTAGCTTTTCGACCTGTATACTTCTATGATGTTCGTAGAATTGAGGTGTCTCTTTAAGGTAGGAGCCTACACAACACTGAATAATCAAAGGGTTTTAACATTTTCAGAATAACAGCAGTTCCAGGCTTACATTCCCAATCAGTCAAGAATATTGAATGAGGATATCAAGACAAGATTTCACGTGGTTTAACTGGGAGGACCAGGTATTTATTGCCCATCCATCCACCCACCCAAACACCCACCTACCTACCCATCCACCTACCTACCCACCCACCCACCCATCCATCCACCCACCCACCTGCCCATCCACCCACCCACCCACCCACCACCCATCCACATAAAATGCTGACCTGCAATCTCGTACCAGACTAGCTGCAGAAGAATCACCTGTGAGCTTTAAAACAAACCAGTTCCAGACTATGTTCAGAGATTTATTAGGTCTGGGTTTGACTCACAAATCTACGTAAGAGCTCAGAGGATGTGATTTCCATGCCCTGGGGGAAGATGTCAAGAAAAACTAGGGAGTATGAGGATTTAAGATGAGCCTTTGGCTCGACAGTTAGAGTGTCGACACTGGGACCAAAGAGTTGCGGGTTCGATTCTGGTCAAAGGCACGTACCTGGGTTGGAGGTTCAATCTCCAGCCCCAGTTGGGATCTTGCAGGAGGCAAACAAACTCTCTCACTTGCTCTTCTCTCTCCCTCCCTTCCTTCCATTCTATCTAAAAAAATCAATAGAAAATATTCTCCATTGGGGATTAACAAATAAATAAATAAAGATGAGCCTCAAATAAAGGACAGGCAGAGGAGAGGGCTCAGCACAAACTCGGAAGGGGGTGCAGAGAGGCCCTTCCCAGACAAGGTCCCCGGGACCAGAGAAGTGCCAGATGTCTAAAAGTTACAGCTCCATAGATACCGCAGTTAGATTTGTTTCCCAGAGTGTTGACTAAATACGTGGATTGTTAATAGGTGGTAGGTTAAAACAAATAATAGTGATCACATTGTTAAACCAATTTGAGCACTGTGATAAAAATCAACAGGGGTGTACTGACTTCCCAGACCCCTTGATGTGCTGACGGTGTGCCTTGTCAAGGTCACAGTGGTGACAACACGCCATGTTTCCCAAAGGTACCTGACCACAGAAGCCTGCTTTTCCTAATGGGCCCAGGTTCCATGGAACTTACTTGGGGAGCTTCTCTGCTCTATATTTATTCCTACGTTTAAGTATCTAGGTATCGATATATGTATTTCTTTCTTTTTCTTTATGATTTTAGAGAGAGAAGAAGGGAGAGGGAGAGAGAAATAGAAACATCGATGAGAAAAAACATCGATTGGCTGCCTCCTGCATACCCCCCACTGGGGACTTGGCCCACAACCTGACCAGGAATCGAACCGGCAATCTCTTGGTACATGGGTCGATGCTCAACCCTGAGCCACACCGGCCGGGCAGATATATATGTATTTATTCATCTACATATTCAAGCATACACTCTATAGTCGTGGGTGGTTTTAATTTTCACCCTCTCCCGGTACTGCTAGGTGCAGAGTTGCAGATGCTCATGAGTTGTTCTGAAATCTGTAAACAGCTCATTAGTTTTTATACATCTCGGGGACAGTTATTAAAGGGTTTCATTTCTTCTTAGACAACAATCACAACACTTAGGATTTCAAATCCAGCAGGCTCCCATCTTGCACTACCAGTCACATTAGCTCTCATTTATCATGCAGATTATTTGACCCTTCCGACTTCAAGTCCAGCACCCTGCACTGCTTGTCCAAATCATCCCCGCTGGACAGATCTGGGCCCGAGAGCCATGGGGGGGTTGCCTGTGCCCACACACACCAATTCACACTCCCTGCACCTCCCCTTTATTGGGCCGGGTACCCAGCCCCCAGCTGCCATCTCAGCCGCCAGCAGTGCACAGCTGCCCCCTTCCGAGAACTGCCCTCCACTGAGGGAGGCCACCTGGCCCGAAGCGGTGTCCCTGTGCCCCAGGGGCAGCCCCTGGCCGGTGGGTGTGGCCACTAGGAGGCTGGCCGCTTTGCTGAGGCTGGTTCCCAACCCCGAGGCTTTTCCTTGCGAGGCTCCTTCCCTCTCAGTGGGCTTTCCTCCCTCCCTTGGGGTTTTCCAGAAGTGCACCCCTTTATAAATCATTTCACAAGACGTCAGAGACGCTGCTTCCAGGGAACCAACCTAGGGCACTGGAAGACTCGCGTCTTTGATCCCCAGGGCCCTCTGATGCTAACTGTCCGCCACTTCCCACTGTCATCTCGACAGCTCAGCGACAGTTCTTGCTCGACACCCCACTTCTCAAACCCTTTCGTCAACCTGTCGTCTACAACAACCCTCCCTTCCGACCTCCAGATCTCTACACTGTCCAGTGTTCATGCCACGTACCTTGGCACAGCATGTCTAAATACGACCCACGTTGCTAAATATGGCATCACAAAATGTCCATTCCACATGACTAAATGTGACTAAACGAGTAAACACAACCCACATTACCTGCCCTGTACCCTCCTTATCCCGCATCACCATCCAGGGGCCCCGACCCTCCCCCATGCAAGCAGCCCCCAAGTCTTGTCCAATCTGCCGCTGGACACCTGCGGGACCCACGCCCCCCCTCGATTCCCACAGCCCTGGCCGAGGTGCTCAGCCGTTGCTCCCTGGGCTACTGAAATGACCTCACCAGCCTACCTTCAGTCTTGCCTTTCAAGTTGCCACTCCTCCTGTGAATTTAAACATTTCTAGTTTAATGTCACTGTCCCCTCATTCCCGACACTCAGGTTCACACTCCCCAGTGTGTCCACAGAGCTGTGTGTAGGTGGGTTCCAGCCACCATCTTGTGTCATTCTGCTGCTGGACCTCCATCGCCCAGGCCACCCCACCGCAACCTCCCTGCTGTGCCCCAGTGTGTCACGGCGTCCCTGCCACGAGCCTTGATGCCCGCAGGTGACAACCACGTTTTCACCGGGGCCTCAGAGCCTAGCATCTATTCAGCACTTACCATGCAGCATGGACCCTTGGGACCACACCACACTGCCTGGTGACACAGGTGGCCATGCTGATCAGCTCTGTCAAAGCACCCGAGGAAAGTACAAATCAAATCACAAACAGTAGTTTGACTCTTCAACATTGTGCCCCAGCGACAGTCACTACTTCAAGTCAAGGCCACGTGTTTGAGGCAACGTGGCAGACGCTGCCAGCTGGTTACTGACATGCATTCCTTCTGCCTCTGGGGACCAGCCAGTCTACATTCAGCTGCCTCCTTGCAGGTGGGTGCAGCAAAGTCACCAAGTGTAGGGTTGGGGTTTGGTGGCTGAACAAGATGCAACCCTGAGGTACATATTCTCGCAACCTGGCCGGCCAGGGATCAAAGTATGCCCGTGAATAGGTATGTCTGACGGCTTGGAACGCCACCCGGTCTGAACTGAGTGTATCGAGTATGTGTGAATAGATAAGGTTTGCATAAAGGTTGAACGCTGCACCAAAGAGACAATGGGCTATATGCTCAGGTGTGAATTTGTTTTGATGTCTCTCCCCTGAAAACGGCGAGACAGGAAATATGCTGGGGTTGGTTGTATGTTGAGCAGAGACGTGATCTCAAGGACTTAATTACCTAAAACACCATGTAACCTAGGGAACCACTTTGAAAACAAACTGGGCTGCATCCAGAGACCTAGAACATTTGCTCCTGTGCGATGCTCCCCCTCACTCCAAGCAGACACTTGCACTGCGACGACCCCCAGCAGGCCGAGTCGGCAACCACGTTCACAGGCCAGGCCCACAGCTGCCCGGGGTGCTGTCCCATGCTCTTTCCCCTCCAGTGACTGCGATGGTGACACCCAAGGTTTGGGGGAAAGAAGGTGAGAGCTGGTCAGCCTGGCTCTCTGAATGACTGCGTGGAGCACAGCCCCGTCCGCAGGAACCTCCTCCCTTGTCCCACGAACAGGAAATAAACTGCTACTGTTCGGTCAGGACAGGTGGGGGCACGTTTCCTGCAGTAGTCACCACCGCCCTGACACAGGCAGGCACTGTGACACAGCCACCCTAACAAACGGACACGCTGCTACAGACTAAGAAAAGCTTGAGACACTTGAAATTGTGTCTCTGAGTCTACGAAACAGGTGGAAGCCCGGGGTGTGTCCCCTCACCGAGGGCAGCACGTGGGATCGGTCACTAAGCTAGTGAGTGACTGCAGCCCCGCCAGGGACTCCGCATCGGGGAGGCCGCACACCCAACCACAAGATTTATCTACAGTACTTACTTTAGCACATGGAGACTATTTCTTTGTACTTAGCAAAGAAAAAGTCAGATTTTCTAAAAGCCACCGAAAAAAAGCAAGTCGTCCCATCATGGTTTCCATCCATTTCCCACCAGACTGTGTTTGCTCATCTTGGCATCTGCACGAGTCTGCTGGGTGTCTGGCGTGTCGTAGGTGTTTAGTGAATGTTTCTCAGATGTTATGTAGAAAGGAGTCCCAAAACCACGAGGTTTCCTTGTTTCACGATCCCACGTTACCCATGAAAGGTTTCGTTCTGGGCAGTGACACGTGTGCACGGTCCCAGCACACAATGCAACACTGTGAGCCGAGGCACATCAGCCTGGAGACGCAGTGCTACATTAACTTCTTGATCAAATGCCAGGACTAACAGATGAATGTGAAACAGACATCAATAATTACAGCTTGTACTGTAGCTTCTGGTTCCTAAACCTTTAAGTTCAATGAACAAGTAATAACTGGACAGACACACCCTTCAGAAATCAGAGGTGGGAAGATTACCTCATTCCGTACGTGTCACACAGAAGGTCCCCTGCAGCACTTTGGCAGGCGGCAGCCCATGGGCTGAGGAGGGGTGGGCTGGGGCTTCCGGAATGATGCCAATGAGTGGGCTCAGCAGGAAACCTGGCACAGGCGTGCCCAGGAACCCAGGCTTCTCTGGGGTCCCACTCCCCTTCCCCGTCCTTCCTTTCTGTTCTGTGGCTCCTTAAGAAGCCCGTCTGGTCTAGACACAAAAGGCACATACCTAATTTAAAAGCCGTATGCTTGCTTTACTTAAATCTAAAAAGGGGTTACTAATACTAATAAAAAGATAATTATCCCTCAGCTAATTCTTGATTTTACAAGCACATCCAAAAAGCACAGCATACGGCATGGCATTTAATGGGCATTCCCATCAAAAGCCTGTAGCTACGTCCCAGGGGTCAGGATCACAAAGCCCGTGTGACAGGAAGCTGCCCTGGGAGCACCACGGTATTTGACGAAAATTCTAGCAAAATGAACACTTCTCTCCAGAACCCTCACCGGGGAACAGAAGACACACTCGTGGAAGGCGCCGAATGTCCCATTTTAAGATGGGAGCACAGGGCTTGCTGTTTCTTCACGGCAGGCTGCCTGCCAGCTCTCGCCTGGCACCAGGACCCCTCCCCAGGAGGTCTCTGCGCTGACTACGGCTACACTACCAGCGTGTGGGGGTTATTTTTCTTTTAAGGTGAGTAGTGTGGAGGGAGGAGGAAACAATCAAGACTAAAGAAAAGACTCATTTTATCAAAACCTCCAGAGCCCCTGAGCTCAACCCCGGAACAGGGTCACGTCTCACCGTCTCAGTGCGCTGAGGAGGTCAAGAACTGATGTGCACTAACAACGTAATCTTTCAGAGTTCAGTGACCTTTCCCCTAACACACGTTCCGCTTTCCCGCAGAAAGTTTCTCGCTAATTTAAATCTGAAAACCTAGAAAGAGGTCCTCATTACTTCATAATAAAAATTAGTTCCTTGAAATTCAGTGGCCTGGGTTTCAAAGTACTGTGAGCTCTGTTACCATGGTATTTGACGCCACAAGTACCAATCGACATTCAGTTCTGGAAAAAGATTTTCGTGTACATATTTTGTCCAAATATTACTATTTATTTCATGAAAGTCACAGCTAAGACTTTAGCAGAGTGTAAATTTTAAGCCAATGAATAAACAGTTGGCTTGCAAGACTATGGAACTGACATGAAAAGCATGTGCTGCTCTGCCAGATACTAAAAATAAGAGCGGCTTCTGCCAACGTGGGAGAACTCGAATTGTTTCCGTTGGCGCCGAACCTGACTACTAGGTTTCACTGAGTTATTTTTCCAAAATGGAGTCCAACAAACATCATCTGGTTTCCCTAAACTTTACTTCTTAAAAAAAGATACAAAATTGCAATCTTATTTAAATAGCAACCTCACACAATAATTTTTATAGTTTGGCAAGACATAACATTTTTTAAAGTGATTATCTTTACTGAGAAAATGAACATTTGGACATTCAGAGAATTAGTCTTCATAGTTTAAGAATTTAAACTTGTCTTATCAGAGTAAACAATAAGCTAAGTTATTAAAACACTGAAAAGGATAACATTCTGGACAAAAAGCATCAGGGAAATCAGTAAGATTTTAAATGTAAGGTTCTAAGCTGCTGCTCCAATTTAGGTAACATTTTATTCCAGTCCTTGGCCTGCCCCTCCCATGGCTGTCTCTCTAAAAACATAAGTGTTTAGAACATGGAGTTTGAGATTTATGATCAGTTGCAGAAACCTGTTTAACTACTGATTTATAGTTTTGGCCAAGGTATTTAACTCTGTCATCAGAACTAATTATAGCAAACCTGAGATTATACATTCAAACTCTCCTTTTGGTGAAAGAAATAGAATGTTCTGCTGAAAATCAGAAACATCCCGAGGGTCCCCAAACAAGAACGCACTACCAACTAGACTCTCAGAACCAGCGCCGTAAAGCTCAAAATTACTGTTCTTCAGTGAGTTGTTTTAGCCCGAAATACTTAATAAATCATAGTTACATTAATGCCATCCTGATGGCCTGAAACATATTCATCTCAGTTAACAATAGCTGACATTTACATTACTAATCTAATTCAGGCATTCCGGGGGTAGTAAATGCACGTCAAAGCTTCGGGAATTGAAGTTATTACCAAACCAAAATGAATCCTTATTTTGCTGTAACCAGATGAAGAAGACAAATGACTACACTTTTTAGGTAACATGGGTACTCTAAGAATAACATTCCCATTTTATTACTTTAATGAGTAAAATGTCTAATTCAAATGAAAGCTGATAAAAATAAAACTGGTTCCGAATGATGTCCTAGCGGAGTGAACCCAAGACATCGGGTTCCTTCCTTTCCCTCAAATCCTTCCCTCCTAACCAGCCCCCTTCTGCTGTACCAGGTTTTGGAGCTTTTCACAGCCCAGGCCCCCAGGGCAGGGACTTAGGAGCTGTGGCTCCCCTTGTCACTGCGTCCCCTGCTACATCTGATTTTGCCATAATGCCCCACTCAGTTCAAATGCCCCGTCCACGTGAGACGGCAGGCAGAGTGGGAAGCGCTGGCCCTGGGGCAGGCTCGAGAAGGGCTCCCGATCGAACACCCTGAGGGCGGCCACTCTGGCAGGCCTCACCCGAGCAGACTGGTGGCGCATGCCTGCGGAGAAGAAAACCCAGGCCGAGGAGGCGTGGGCATGCGCGTCCTGGGGCCTGTGTGAGAACTCGGCCCTGCCCCTGCTCAACGGTGGCATTTCCAGTGTCTCAGACGAAAACCATGCACTGCACGGTGGATTTTTTAAGGAAAGGTTCCTATGCTGTAAGTTTGTGTTCACCTATCAGGATTTTCAAATGAGATGTAGGAAAGCAGTATATGACTGTATCTACAAAACACAATAGGGGATATTAAATCATAAAATAGAAGATTTGCCAACATTTGGTCTGGACACCTTTTCGTGATGGATTCTATAAGGAGATAAAGAGTCTCCTAAAATCCTGCTTTCATTACACTGGCTTTCCTCACCTAAGTGGAAGCAAGATATAATTTCTGTTCTCTTAAACAGCAACCTACTCATTTATTCCAGAACATAGGTAAACACTAAATATGCCACCAATAAATTAGTAAAATTGTTACTACTGTAAATCTAAAAATAACAAAATAATAGAATTATACACATGACTCATTTCTATGTTCCTAAATTTATATTACAACCCAGAGAAAGCTTGTACCAGAAGCTCGAGAACCTGCGTGGAGGCTGCAGGACGGGAACTGATGAAAAGCACAATAAGCAGTTGGTCGTGGCTACTGAGTACCCGGCAGGGAGGCGCCAGAACGCCAGAGGCCCGCCAGGAAACCCAAACACCCAGCTGCGGCCCAGCTAGCAGCCAGGTGCGACGTCCCAAAGCCCCTTCTAGTGAGGACTATGACACACATCCAATGAAATCTACTTCCCACGGCACCAATCCTCTCTTTCGGGTCATTGATGCATCAATCTTTTAAGGAGCAATAGGGAAGACAAATGAAAACAATCAAACCATGTTCTTAGAAGGTTCAAAGTTATATTGTCTTGAGTTATAACACTACTCTTTTTTTAAAAAACAAATATTTTTAGTGATTTTTTTAGAGAGAGATAGAGACATCAGTTGGCTGCCTCCTGCACGCCCACTGGGGATCAAGCCTGAAACCCAGGCACGTGTCCTGACTAGAAATCGAACCGGGACCTCTCAGTCCAGGGACGATGCTCAATCCGCTGAGCCACACCGTCCAGGCTATAACATTACTCTTAATATAATTATACCATTTTCTCTTCTAAGAATCATCTGATAATTTAAAGAATGACATGGCTGAGAGAGATTTAGGAAGACATTTCTAGGCAGAGCTGAATTTAAATTATCCTCCAAACACTACATTCTGCCTTTTTTTTATTGTAATGTTTTATCTAAAGGTACTAAAACTAACCAATTGCTTTTATTATGTGACTGTCAAGTAGCAAAACCACGGCAGCCAGTAAGGAACCAGTAATTACTTTTAAAACGTTAAGATGAAGTTGTTTGTAAGGACAATATCAATTGAGACTTTTTTACACTTATGACTAATCCATTATAAGCAAATGCCAATGTTAAAAACACAATTCCAGAATAAGTACAGTTCCACTGAGAACAGATAAGAACATACAAGGAGCTCATTGGCTATGCTATACCAAACGAATGAAAAGTAAAATCGATTTTATACTGCAGGTCTCTATAAATAAATAAATAAAACTCTGTCTTTTCCCTGTGTGTGTGCTTAGATTTCTTGTACAAATAATGGAACTCTCCATTCCATTCACTTCAATAGGATGAACTCTTTAGAAAAGACTGATAATCGACCCCCAAATGTGATGCTTATTTTTTCTACTTCTACCAATTTCCTGACATATTTAACATAAGCAGGAATATCTTTTCAGTCAATTAAGCAACTGAAGACTCAGTAAAAGGTCAAGAAAAGACACACAATCTTGAAGAACACTGGCAGGTTACATGTATCCCATGTTGCTTTTGGTTTCCCATCTCTTCTTCGCTTCAAATCTACAATGAAGAACATAAAAATCTCCATTTATTTCTAATATACTTTACTAAAGTAACAGGTTTACTAAGTGCTAAAGCAAAATAAACTTAAATTTTCACATACTCCATTGATTACAAAATACACATGTCAAGTAGGATGAAGATCTGTACTTACAATCTGATAACCAGCTAGCACAGATACAAACACAACCAATAACAATTACACACAAACTGGACTCATAAAACACGTCACAGGATGTGTTCACTTCTGTGAAGTTAGTTGAGTTACCACTAAAAGCCTTCAACTTACCCCCATGCAAGTTTCTTCTTTTTTCGAGCAACCTGTGAATTTTCAGCTTCCTTTTTGGCTTTTACAAAGTTATGGCAGGCAATTGCTTTGGCAATTTTTACACCAAGCTAAGAATTAGAAGGAGAAAAAGGAAAAAAAAAAGTGAGAATAAATATTCCAGTTAATACAAGAATACAAATACTTGAGAACTTGGGGTAAGAGAGCTGTGTCCAGAAATGAAAAATTCTTGCACTCAGGACTCCTTGAACAACCAAAGTATAGTGGCTACATAAATATGGCCCACGCTTTTCTTACGCCCACAGACCCCTCACCCTAGTCATATCCATCTCCAAACTGAGGCCCCTCGAGGGTCCACAAAGGTTGTGGTGAAGATCTGCAAGCTATTTTAGCATTTCAGTAGGCCAAACAGGAATTTACCCGATAAGACTGCACAGACTGACAGAGAAATCGCATTTCTTTGCTCTGGGCTAGAATTACAGCAACTCAGTATGGTCACACCAGTTATCTCATGCAGATCAGAAGCGCTGAATGGCAGTCATAGATGTGATTAATAAAACATGGGAAAGCTAATTACTCCTTCACAAACGTACTTTCTATGATGGGCAACAGCTTTTAAATCACTGACAGAAAAAAGAATAAAAGGGGTGCTAGGAGGTGAAAAGTCTGGGCACCAGGACCACAGTACATAAGTCTTCCCTGCACTGGCCCCTCAGTTCCTACTCCTCACTGCCACCTGCCAGTCCTATAAGGTCCAATGGAAACGGAGCCTCCCACCCCCAAAGTCTTCTCTAACAGCCTACAACAGTCTTTGTCTCGGTCTCTCTCCAGCTCTTCAGCTTCTAGTTACCCTGCTGCCTTCCCAGCTCTGCTTCAGGGCTGTTCCTCAGGAAGTGTCTCCAGGACAATGTGGGGACCTAGTTTTAGTGGGCCCTGATTTTAAAATGCTGTCTATATGGATGGCTCAAAAGTGTCCAGTAAGAACCGGGTGAAACAACAGAGGCTAAAACTCTTTCTGGTGTTTCTTACCTTCCCTATCCCTGTACTAGACTTACTACATATTAGTGGACAGCAGACTCATCAAGAAAGAAAGGACTGGAAGCCACTTAACGTCAACATATTAAAGCCCATGTTTTGGGAACCCGTAGTGAGACACGGGAAGCGGTTAAGAGCACGTGTGTAAGGAGAGAAGCCGGTTTAGCAAAGGGAGGATTGGCATGCTTGACATTTCTTCCAGTTCATCCTGGAGAACAGTTTCCTTTAGGATGAAACAAATGAGTAGGAATCAAGCACTGACTGGGGTTTCTAAAAGAGAGCAAAAATAGATCTGATGTTCTAGTCCAGGAAATCATCAATATAAAGAATGGAAACAAATGTAAGCAACATGACAGTAAAACCAAGGTACTGAACTGGTCACACCACAGGAGAGCCACTGAAGAAAAGAAGATCAATTATGACTTGAGAGCCCACAGGAGAAGGCGGATCAGTTTCTTCTCAAAACTCAAACCACTACTAGCAGCGCTAACTACTGCCGTCGTCCTCGTTTTCATAAGGATAATGCGCACGCAACAGATACTGTAAGGGCACAAATGCATTCCTCTGCCAGGCACGTTCTAGGCACTGCAGCGAGAGCCTCAGCGAAAGGACTCCTTTCCAAGCTGTGGGGCAGGAAGAGGGCTTGCAGGGACACTCGATGGCTTCCAGACTGGACCGGTTCTCTTGGTTCTCTTTTCATGTCCAGTTCTTTATCACAGACAGTTCGCCCAAATCAACTAAAGATGGCTAAGACTCGAATGCTGTAGCACTGTCACCCAAAGAGGAGATGAAACTCTGAAGGGTGCTGTGAGATGACTCATCAGTAGGAAGGATTTCTAATCCACTGAAAAACTATCTTTTGTCACTAGTGAAAAATCAGGGTAGCATCTGTCGGGTTAGGCTAGTCAAAACTGCAGCATCAAACAAATCCCCAAATCTCACTGGCTGAACATTTTTTATTTTAATTTTTTTACTGATTCGAGAGAGAGAGAGAAGAAGGGAGAGGGGGAGAGAGAAACATCTATCAGCTGCCTCCTGCATGCCCCCTACTGAGGATTAAGCCTGCAACCTGGGCATGTGCCCTGACCAGGAATCAAACGGGTGACCCCTTGGGACACAGATGGCACTCAACCAACTGAGCCACACTGGCCAGGGCTCTCCTCCACCTCGTGGTCTCAGCATCTGGACATGTGGCTGAGCTGAGTTCACTGTGGCAGAGGAAGAGACAGCTGAAGGGTCACACCCTCGCTCCAAAAAGCTTTAGTGCAGAAGTGACACAGCCCTCTGGTCAGAACTCCTCGTACGGTGGCACCTACATGCAAGGCAGCTGGGAATGAGGTGCTGTGGGTTACCAAGAGGGCAGTCCGTGACCTAATAAACAGCCTGCTGTCATAACGTGCAGCATACGCTTAAGGCATACTCTAGGCCTCTCCATATTCATGTTGAACATCTAGTCTCTTCCCTGTCCCCGTTTCCGAAAGGTAAAACACAGAACTCCTATGTATCATATATCAGATGCAAAATTTGCCAAGTAAATTCTCCAACAAAAGTACCACATAGCTAGTTTATCTTATATTTAAATTGAGCTTATACTGTGAAGAGGAAATAAAAATGACCCGAAATATATTTGCCATATACCACTCATTAACCATGTGAACATGTTATTTTCTAGTAAGTAAGATTATCTTACATTTAAGTTCATTGAAATTTTCCCATATGAGTTTACTAGATTTGGAACAGACAAACCAAAGAACATCTCAATGTGTCTGAACACACGGTCATTTCATCTCAGCAGGTCTCGTGTTCAAAGAATATAAAATCTTCCCGTTTTCTAGCAATGTTAAGGCCAAATCCAGCACAATTAGCATCACAGTAATGATTTAGAGCCTATGTTCCGACATAATCTAAAACTGTAAAAAGCAATTCATTATAATGTACAATATATGTACTTACATGAGAGGGTGCCATTTTGTGGATCAGGTACATGTAATAATTGGGTACACAGGCAACACTTTTGAACAGACCTGTTCATGTAAAAGGTATAGTTTCTGTCTTTATTTCGCCTTGGGTTCTGGTTAAATGGAATGTTCTTCAACTGATAAACATTAAACAAACCTGGTCTATGCCTTTTACAGAAGGAATCTTGTAAGCTTACAATGATGATGAAGAATCATATCAATTTTGTGTCCTTCATATGCTTAAAATAAATATTTTACTCATTCTTGTGGAGAATTTAAAAAGTGGAAATGTTTGGAAATCAGAAAGAACAACAAGATCTTCTATGGAAGAGAGTTGAGAGAAACACATTTCCCAGGCAAGATGACTAACCTGCGCTCCAGGAGACAAAAGAATATCGTGCTATGTTTCACTATTACAAATAAATAATACAGGCCAACAGGAACCCCCTTCACTTCTGAAAAGAAAAATGCATCTTCATGCCCAAGTAAACATCACAGAAGCTTGGTCAATGGTTTTTATATTAAAAAACTGTTTCGGGTCATCAGATAACTATAGCAACACAATGTAGAAAAAATTTTTTAAATGAATAAAAATATATACAGAATTTCTTGTATGTGCAGCCAAAGTATCAGCATTTTCCATATAGAACATCCAATATTTTGCTGCATTTTAATTAAGGTGTCTAAACATTATCACAAAGAACTGCAAATTGGTCAGAGCAAGCGGTAAGGAAAATTAAGCTCTAAAGGCTTTTTATCACCATATTTCAGGAACCAAGGGTGTAAAATGTTCTAATTTGGGATATATTAAAAGCCATAAAAGGTCTTTCAAAAAGATTAATGGTACTTTGCTTGGATTTAAGATAAGGGCTTTAGCTGGTTGGAAAAGCAGGGCCCTGGCTGGACCCTTGAGGCATTCATCTTTACAGCCACTTGGAAGATTTGTAAAAGCGTCTGCATAACCTCAAGCAAATGCTCCACGACATTTTTTTAATTCCTTTCAATTTTACAGGTTTAGCATGTGTAAATCATACTGGGTTGTAAAATAGATATAATGGCACATCTTGTAACATAGTAGAGATTTTTAAAGGACAAAGTTTCAAAATCAAGTTAGTTTTTCTTGCTAAATCTTGCCGTTCTAAAGTTTGCTGATCATTTGAAGCATCTGATTCAAACAGCTTAATCTAGCCTAACTGTAAACTTCTTATCCATTTCATAAAATAGTTTACTCATTTCAAAATTACTAGCCTGTAACAGATTTATAAAGTTTTCCTCCCTTTTGAATACTTTCAAGGCACTTATTTAAAAATACCAATTATCATACTTTAACTTTTTATGGAATAATAGGTCTCTATGAAAAATATTTATGCCATTCTCTTTTGTTCTTTAATTAAATGAAAACAGATGTTTTCTGAAGTAAAGCGGAACCATTACTGGAGTACTTAAAGTGTCAAGGTCTTTAATTTTTATATCAGTTTGGTCGACAATTCCTGATTGTCTTTACTCAAGCTCAACATTAATGTCAAGCAAGTTACCTAGGAGACGAAAAAGATCAAAGAGACAAAAACCCCTCCAATGTCTGATTAATCAAGTCTGCAAACAGCTTATTTCTTTTAGCCTGCATGCAAGTATGAAAATGAGATTCTGGGAGCCGAACATTGTGCAGATTTGTTCATTCTTATCAGAACAAAGCCAGCGGCAGCTTATTTCATGGATCATTGGCACTGTCATCAGTGCTACACAGAACGGGTGACAGCTCCTCATTTTGAGGCTTGAACAAAATTAGCAAAAAGTCGGCACAAATTAGCCTCTCATCTTTTTGGTAATATGACATTATTCATTTACTTTTTATCCAATTTTTAATTTTTTCCTTGTCAGTTATCCCTTTCTAGTCTCTTCCATGGATCCTAAAATGTTGCCTCATAAACAAGCAGAAATAGCCAAAGTTGAAATAACATGCAAAGTTCAAAAAGCAAATAAAGGGGAGAAAAGCACTTCCAATGACTGATGATGCTTTATTTTTTTATATTACTTTCAAACCTTCACACTAATATTGATAAACAGCTCAGAACACCATGCACTTAAAGAGTTTTATAAAATGGTAGTCTATGTCAATA